TTTTTAAGAGTAAGGCTTATTTTAATGAATCACAAAATCTACTAATTTCTTTTATGAAAATTTCGCTCATTTTACAAGATTTTGTTACTAAAAACCTCAACAACAAATTTTGAATTAACTTTTTTCGAATTATTTCTGCCGTTTTAGCTTATTTTAGCTTATTTTTTAAGAATCGACTTGTCAATTTTTTGTGTTGAATTAATTTATTTTTTAACGGAAGTTGTGCTGAAGAAAAAATTGGGCAATTTATAAAAATTTCCTTGAAAATAGGAAAATGTTTTTATTTTTACTAAGGAATGCCAGAAAACAAAAAAGTGACTGATTTTTTCAACGAAATTTTTGCTTGTGAAAAAATATTAAATCGATGTAAACTAAAATTAACTTTTCTTGACTTGTTTTGTTCAGTTTTGCTTATTTTTCCGCAGAATTGCTTTTATTAAAATGCAATAAATCGAAAAATTTGTGTATTCATGCACTTTTTTGTCACTAAAAAGAAAAAGGAAATTAATTATTGTAAAGCAAAACGTCAAAAAAGTAGTGATTTCTTTTATATTTGTTTTTGATATTTCTTAATTTTTTGTTATTCTCCAAAAATTATCTAAAATTTTCAAACATTTACCATACTTTAGCCACTAATTTTTTTTTTATCTGGGACTAAATGTCACAAAGAAAAAAAATTTGTGCTTAAGCGTTTTTACTTTTACCATGACATTTACAAATGTTGTCTTTTTCGCTGCTTCAATGGTTCAAAGGTAGATCATGCGCATTCGACATTTTCCCCTACTAACTGCACTAGTTTTCGAAAATCTCAGCACAAATTCCAATTACCACCACTTTTGCTCTTAATAACATAATATGGTTTAATTTATTATTTTTATTTATTTATTATTTTGATGTTTGTTGTATTGTGAGCTAAAATTTGCGATTTCGCTGTGAGTAGTACGATTTTAGTGTCACATAAAATGGCAAATGTCGTCGTCAGCAGTGTGAAAATCTTTAAATCTCGCGAGTTTTATGCGAGATAAATAAATAAAAATAGAGTAAAGTAACAAGAACGGAAGACATTGTTGCAGTCGAGGAATTTAATCAGTTTCAATTACGTAAAAACCAAAAATTCCCAGCGATGCGATTCGGATTATTATGTAAATTTCTGAGACCATTGGCATATGCATCTCTTTTTTGTTCGATTTTGCATTTTTTTTATTACAGAAAAATTTGTGTATCAATGTTAAAAATTGCAAAAATATTTTCTGAAATGAGTTATTTTGTTGTTTCATTTAATCCAGTTTATTTTTTAAGAGTAAGGCTTATTTTAATGAATCACAAAATCTACTAATTTCTTTTATGAAAATTTCGCTCATTTCGCGAGATTTTGTTACTAAAAACCTCAACAACAAATTTTGAATTAACTTTTTTCGAATTATTTCTGCAGTTTTTTTATTTTTTAATCGACTTACTTTGTCAATTTTTTGTGTTCAATTAATTTATTTTTTAACGGAAATTGTGCTGAACAAAAAATTGGTCAATTTATAAAAATTTCCTTGAAAATAAGAAAATGTTTTTATTTTTACGAAGGAATGCCAGAAAACGAAAAAGTGACTGATTTTTTCAACGAAATTTTTGCTTGTGAAAAAATATTAAATTGATGTAAACTAAAATTAACTTTTCTTGACTTGTTTTGTTCAGTTTTGCTTACTTTTCCGAGGAATTGCTTTTATTAAAATGCATTAAATCGAAAAATTTGTGTGTTTATGCACTTTGTTGTTACTAAACTATAAAAAGAAAAACGAAATTAACTATTGAAAAGCAAAACGTCAAAAAGTAGTGATTACTTTTTGATTTGTTTTAGATATTTCTTAATTTTTTGTTATTCTCCAAAAATTATCCAAATATTTCAAACATTTACCATACTTTAGCCACTAGTTTTTTATCTGGGACTAAATGTCACAAATAAAAAAAAAATGCGCTTAAGCGTTTTTACTTTTACCATGACATTTACCAATGTTGTCTTTTTCGCTTCTTCAAAGGTCCATTGTAGATCATCAGCATTCGACATTTTCCCCTACTAACTGCACTAGTTTTCGAAAATCTCAGCACAAAAACCGATTACCACTACTTTTACTCTTAATAACATAATATACTATTTATTGATTCACTTAGTAATCATTTGGTTCAATTAATTATTTTCATTTATTTATAATTTTGATGTTTGTTGTATTGTGAGCTAAAATTTGCGATTTCGCTGTGAGTAGTACGATTTTAGTGTCACATAAAATGTCGTCGTCAGTAGTGTGAAAATCTTTAAATCTCTCGAGTTTTATGCGAGATAAATAAATAAAAATAGAGTAAAGCAACAAGAACGGAAGACATTGTTGCAGTCAAGGAATTTTATCAGTTTCAATTACGTAAAAACCAAAAATTCCCAGCGATGCTATTCGGATTATTATGTAAATTTCTGAGACCATTGGAATATTGCAGAAAAGCTTTTCCCCCATATTGTTCCTTGCATTAACAATGTGTTCTGGAGGCACGTTCTCCCACACCTCCGGCGGGATCTTCCGACTTCAGTTCACGTCGAGTTATGGACCGTGACTGCTAGTTATCTAATCAGTCTATTTCCGATACTGGAGCCCTAAATTGTGGTGTTTTGCAGCAAGTGACCTTGACTCGATTCGTGCCCTCTTCAACGAGAAGGAGAAGGAGTTGTCCTTGGCGGTGGCCAAGGTCGAGGAGTTGACCAGACAGTTGGAGGAGTTGCGACGGGGGCGAACGGCCAGGGACCAGCCCCCCGCTTCTGCCCTTGAACTGGACAAGCTGAGGAGGGAGCTTATGGTAAGGAGTAAATCGTATACCAACGTAATGGTAATTTATGGGGCGGTTTTACTAAATTCAAAAATATCGCCCTGCTTACACACCCTAAATTGATTTACTCGAAGAATGAAACTTAACAGCAGCTATTTTATTTCATGTGCAAAATTGAACTGAAAAAATTTCATTGAAAATTTGTTTAACGACAAATTGCAACGTTTCTTGTTTCAGGGCTGAAAAACTCAAGTTTTGTTCAATTCGTTATTGAAATGAATTGCTTGGATATGTTTTCAAAGAAACAAAATAAAACATAACATCCTGACAAAATTTGTTAATTGTAAAATTTGGTGAAAAATAAGGGTTTCTAAAATTACAAGTTTTAGTTTTATGATTTTCTTAATAAAAGTTGGCTAAATTTCTATACCTTTTTTTGAATTTATTTAAATGTAAATATCAAAAATTGTGTTTTTAGTCAAATTATTCGAAATACTGTGATTGCAAGTCTGACTATTTTTTTATTT